AGAGAGAGAGGGAGAGAGAGAGAGAGAGTTTGCAAGCACGGCTGAGGGGGAACGCTGATTGTCCATGTTCGTTCAGCCGCAATTAGGCACAATGGAAACTCGAAGCTTCCTACTACTCCTGCTCTGGATTTCCTCTTTTTCATCACGTTTGTGATTTTCCGACTGCCCTTCGAGCGTAACTTAGGATCGTCCTGACTCGCGTTTACAATTATTTGAAATTTGTTTCAAATGTACAATTACGAACGCATCTTCGTTAAAGAGTTTTAGTAATAGCGAGTAAAAGCTTCGGAAAGTCACGTGAAGTCAACGACCTGCCAGCCGATGAATTTAAAATACAATACACAAATATGAAAAAAAAAAAAAAAAAAAAAAAAAAAAAAAAAACAAAAATTGAAAGAGAAAAAGAAACTTGGAACAAGCAAAATTTGCATGAAAAAAAGAATTGAAAGGACTTTATGAGATATCAGTTGGCAAATATATTTATATGCAATATGTGTTAGAATTTATATGGCCTCGTAAAGTATCGTAAATATTATTATAAACAGTTTGAGAATACAAATTGTAATCCATTAGATACTTTAGGGAGAAATACATCATCGCGTCATTTCAAGTTATCTTTCTTTGTCGAAATTCAATTAGACATTGCAAAAATATTAGTCCAAGAGTTACGAGCGTAGGCACGATCAGAAATACCAAGATTAAAAAAATTAATATTCAATTTCAAATTCGAATTTTATATTGAATTTGATATTAAATAATATTCCGAATAATCTTTGAATTTTATGAATAATAAATAATAAAACTAATTTATTTAGCTATTAATGCACATCGAACGCGATAGAATCAAGTAGCTTCATTTCAGTACATTAATAGATTCGTTAATATTGTATTTTTAATAGAACCTAAATTTTCAAAGCAAGTAAGACAAAAGCTCATATCCCTGATGTTAAATCTTTTTCATTGCCAAATTCCTCTCATTATTTATAGTCATTATTATAGAATATTTTTACTAGTATGCTTTTTAAAAATTATCTTTAATTCTTATGATGGAAAATCTAACGTCATATATATATATATATATATATATATATATATAAGGGTATGATTAATGGTTAATTTTTCAAAGTTAGCATCCATCTCTATATAATTAAGAGTATTATATAGTAAATTATAATGATATTTGATTTCTTTTCGTTAATGATTGAATACAGTATATTTAATAATAATCTTTATGAAGAAATTACGATATTTTAATATAGGATAGAAATTACGATTAAGTCATTATTGGCGATAATATTTTCTTCAATTGAAAGATGAAATTTCTTCAACTAATTTATACATTTAAAATATAAAAATAAGTAGGACGTTTCTAATAAATTTTATATAAGTCCTTTAATTTTTAATAAAGATATCAATTGTCGTTGTACTTTGAAATCATGACTCCCAATTCGATAAATAATTTACAATCAAACGTTTAAATTAAATTTTTTACTTGCCGACTTTTTTCAGTTTTTCCAAGAATTATATTAATTTTTTTCAAATAAGTAATCCAAAAATTATATATTAACATTATTTTTAAAAACTCTTTTTATTAATTTTAATATTTTGTCCATTTAATAGAGGTATTTTTAATGTTTAACTTTAGTTGGTTCACACACAAATGTTAAAAGTATAAGAATATTGAAAAGTATAGAAGACTAAATTCACTTCCTTCTCATAATATTGTTAATATGGAGTTTAACGATTATATACTTAAATAACAATAGTTAAAGAAAAATTGAATCAATAGATTATTAAAGCGATGTAAATTTAGGATAATAATAATCTAATTGAATAGTGTAAGTGGTATAAGTAAATAGTAAAAACGTGAAAGGAAATATTGCAAGTATAAATTTTTCATGGATTTGAATAATAATTGATATTTGGTATTAAGATTTCCACAATTTTGTATGAAAAAGTACATGAAAAGTTTTACGAGAAATTTCTTAAGCAACAAAATCTTTTATGTACAAAACCTTTATTTAATGTGAACTATATATAATTTAGAAATATCATTGATCATTTGTAAGATGCGTAAGATGAAAGTGAGACATTAAATTAAATAAAGCTTACAAATAAATTTTCATCGCATATTTTTACTATGACACATAATACAAATAATATTATATAACTGAACATGGTTATTTATTGATAAAGTAAGATAAATAAAATACGAAAGTAGTATTTATGAAAAAGATAGTGTATATGAAAAGAGAAAAAAGTTTTTCCAAATCAATTTTACATAGATTAGAAAAACTTTGTGAAGAATAATAAGTATTTATAATGGGAAGATAAATTATTTTTTTGATACCGCAAGCATATAATTCTAAGTATTATTTCTATATACTTTTAATTGAATTCTTCTATATATTTAATTGAATTATTAATAATGAACAACTTCTTTGACGATGAATTATTTGCATAGCGAGAAAGTACATTTTTGGTTATTAAATCTTTAAAAAAAAATAATCTTTTTCACTGTAAAAATATTTTTTTTTATTAATAATGAATATTGAAAATATATCGATGTAATTTAGCTTTTAACTCGATAGATGTATAATCATTGTGATCGTTCTAATTTGTCGTTAATAATTATATAATAATGAGTTATAAATAAATATCTTCAAATATGGGGCTTTTGAATTCGTATATCAAAGATACACTAAGATTTTCTATTACTTTCAACCTGTGTATTTTGATTATAAATACACTTGTAATTGCGCATACGAAAAGCATATACCTTCATTACTTAGACTAAAAAAAAAAAAAAAAA